ATTGTACACTGTAGAATCTTCTTTCCTGTAATTCATTCTCTTTTGCTTCCGCTGTAGGATAAAACTCAGACAACAAGTTCTTCAAACTCTATAACCTTTCCAACATAATGCCTTGAGCCAACAATGGAATTCCAAGATCTCCCAATGACGAAATCCCGTCACCCTATTCTTCCATGTTATCCATGGGAGCATCTTTGCTTCTGCTAACATAATACAAATCCCGAAACGATTCTGCAAAAGAGAAAGTTCCACTCCATACAACAAACCAAAAGGGAGCTGAATTTTCCTCTCCAAGCTTATAACCAATTGATCCTACAAAATAAAAACTAGAGTTAGAAATTAAAGCTCTAATCTTGTTTAAGTCCTTCCACCAAATTGATGTTGACTTTCTAGAGTTGAGATTATTTTTCATCAGAACTTGATGCTCTTTTCCACCATATCTTACTATAAGAACCCTCTTCCATAAAAAAATCATCTTCTAATATTCTCCACTTTCACTTTGATAGAAGAGCTAAATTAAATTCTTATATACTTTTAATTCCAAGACCACCAAACTCCTTATCCTTACAAACAATATCCCACTTCACTCAATGAATCTTGGACTTCGCTTTTGTATCACTCCAAAGGAAACGCTGCCTAATCTTATCAATATCTCTCAAAATTCTCACTGGAGCTTTGTAGAACGAAAGAAACAAAATAGGAAGGCTGGAAAGAATCGAATTGATAAGCGTAATTCTGCATGCAAAAGGTAGATACCTCCCTCTCCAAAGAGCCAACTTTGATTTGAACTTTTCAATGACTAGAGACCAAGTTTTAACCTTCCACTATTGCAACCAATAGGAATATCCAAAAAAATTAAAATAAGAATCCTCTATCTTGCAAGATAGAAAACTAGAGGCATCCAAAAGGAAACAATTGCTCATGTTTATGCCAATCAACCTGGTCTTATGGAAATTTACTCCCAACCCAGAAACAAGATCAAATCCTTTAAGAATAGATTTAATGCTCCATAGATTCTTCCATCCACCTCTTCATATGATGAAACTATCATCTGTGAATTAGATTATTTCCATGGAAGTTTCCTCGTCTACTCTAAACCCTTTGAAATCTCCCAATTTTGTCGCCTTTTTTATCATTCTCGACAATCCTTCTGCCACAATTACAAAGAGAAAGGGAGATAGAGGATCTCCCTGTCTTAATCATCTTTCCACTTCGAAGTCCTTTTTAGGTCTGTTGTTGACCAAAATAGACAAATGACACTTGAATATACAAGCTTCCATCCACATCATCCAAGTTCTCCGAAATCACATTTAATTCATCATAGAACGTAAGAAATCCCAATTGACACAATCGTACACTTTTTTGAATTCTACTTTGAAGAGAACACACTACTTTTCATCTCTAGTAACTTTGTCAACAATTTCATTTGCAATCAAAACTCCATCCAACAGTTGCCTACTAGGAACAAAAGCTGAATGGCAATTAGAAATGAGTCCACCTATAACCATTTTCAACCTTGCTGCCAATAGTTTAGCTATGATTTTATATAAGCTACCAACCAGGCATATAGGCCTATATTCACCAAGATTGATGGGATGGTCAACCTTAGGAATAAGAGTAAGGAAAAAATAAGTAACAACTTTTGGAAGAAACGCTTTATCATGAAAGTCCTTCACAAAAGAAATGATATTCTCCTTCAATATAAATCAACACTTAATGAAAAAAAAGTTGAAACCTTAGAGACCTGGACTTTTAGCACCATCACAAGTCCATACTGCCGCTTTGAATTCCTCCTTTGAGAAAGGGGCCTCCAAGAACAAAACTTCTGACTCTGATAAGGATTTGAGAGAAATGTCTTCCAAAGAAGGCCAATTCACTTCAGTTTCAGTGAAGTTTATTTTGAAAAAACTCCTTACTGCCTCCTTAACTTCCTCTACTGATTCCACCATTCCACTATTTGTGTCAACTGCACCAATAAACTTTCTCCTGACTTTTCCCTTGACTAAATTATGAAAGTACTTAGAATTAAGATCGCTTTCCCGATTCCACTTCACCCTGGTTTTTTGGAATAACATGTTATCTTTGATATATATAAGTTCCTCCACATAGTCTTGCAAGCTCTAGAATGACTTTCTACTAGCTCCTTCACTTCAATCCCATCACAAAGAAATAGTTGTTTATCTACTTCATTGATATCACTCACTCCCTCTTCAACTTTAAGATAGATTCACCCAAATATATCTTTATTCCATCTTCTGTGACTTCTCTTCAACATTTTGAGTTTTTCTTTAATAATGTAGTCACTCCTCCCTTTCACTTTAATCTCTTTCCACTCCTTTTTAATAAACTTCGGGAACTCTTTGTTTTTAAACCAACAATCATTCAATTTGAATGGTTTAGGCCCCCAATTGATTGAAATAATCTTCAGCCATATCAGACAATGGTTAGATATGTCTCTCTTCCCTATGATTTGACCTACCACGCCCCATATATCAATGAGAGAGTCCGCTAAAAATAATATGTCAATCCTGCTCATGAGTTTACCATCACCATTGTACCAGCTAAATTGATTACCAATACAAGGAAGATCAACCAAATGCAATTCATTGATGAATGCATTGAATTCCCTTTGCTCTAATTTTCTGATGTCAAGAGAAATCCCATTTCTTTCAGAAGAATCAGGGGTTGCATTAAAATCTCCTCCCATGGGACCCCTGATTCTTTTGAAAGAAATGGGATTTCTCTTGACATCAGAAAATCAAAGAAAAGGGAATTCAATGCATTTATCAATGAATTGAATTTGGTTGATCTTCCTTGTACTGCATAGTAAACTTCGTTCTTCTAAATCAGTTTCAACCCTTAAAACCCTTCCCTATTTGAAAGAAAAAAATAGGGGTAGTATAATCCATACTCCACAGAGTAATAATACCTCCTGATTGTCCTATGTCGTTGCTACTAGACCACCCCTACTTCCTGACTTTCCCACAAACTACTAATAATAGAAGAATCGACCACCCTAAATTTTGATTCTTGAATAAAACAAATATCTGCTTTACCTAAACTAATAATGTTACTGATTCTCTTTCTCTTGGATATGTTTCCTCCTCCATGAATATTCAGAGAACTTATAATCATGGTACACCAATTTTGATCGCCTTCTTGCCACTGAATCTGGCCTTATCCTTAGCTTCAATTTATGTTATTTTCTTAGAATAATCCTTCTTCTTATCCCTCGCTACCACTCAGAGATTGGATATAGAATTCCACACCTTATCCCCTACATTCGGTTCTAGGTTGTCCCGAAATTTGATGTCGCAAAGCCGAACATCAAAATCAGACGTGGGATCACAACACAAAATGGCTCCTGCAAAGTAGCTATCTACACCCTTCAAAGAAGTTTTCAAAGAGTTTCGATGAAGCAAGTAAGACAAAGAGGCACTAGATTTTCTATTCTTTAAAGTATCACAGTAAGAAGATTGAGAGAATGGGTCAGTCGGATCCTCAGATTGTCTATAAACAACATGGGATACGATGCCCAAAAATCTTTATTTGGGCTTAACCAATCTCCTACCCACGGGCCCAATAACTTCTTTAATGCTCCTTAGTTTTTGTTTCTTAATAGAAATATTATTTTGTTTTAAATAACCACGAGCGCGTGCGCGCAGACACACACATCTATATATATATATATATATATATATATATATATATATATATATATATATATATATATATATATATATATATATATATATATATATATATATGTGTGTGTGTGTGTGTGTGTGTGTGTGTGTGTGTGTGTGTGTGTGTGTGTGTCTATATATATATATATATATATATATATATATATATATATATATATATATATATATATATATATATATATATATATATATATATATATATATATATATATATATATATATATATATATAGTTTTTAGTAAATATATATAATATATTCAGTGTTTAATAAATATTATTCTGTTTTTTTAAATATATACTATATTCTGTTGTTAATTATATTTTGTTTATACATATATAATATATTCTGCTTTAATAAATTCACATAAATTATTGTCATAACAAAAGATAAAACAAATTTAATTTATTTTTATGTGTTATAAGTTATTTGTGTTAACTATCTTGAAAATTTTATAAAAATAAATTTAAATAAAATTATGAAAAATGTCATAATTTATTTTAATTTAGACTCAGTTTGTTAAAAATTATGGTTAGTTGATAAGTTAATTGATAGCATATATCTTATGACTGATGACTGATAACTTATAATTTATAAGTGATGATTGATGATTGATAACTGAAAAACTTATTGAAGTGTTTGGTAAAACTAACTTATAAATGTAAAATGATATAAAAAGATATTCAATATATAATTGTTTTATTTTAACTTAAAATAAATTATAAAAGATGAAAGTGTATTTTATTTAAAATAATAAGACTAAAAATGGAAGAAAAAATGATAAGATATAAACTAAAATGCTATTTAAAATATCGTTTAAAAATAAGTTATAAGTGAGTAAAAAAAACTATAAGCTCGTGATGAAAAGACCGTCATAAATCATATTTAAATTGTCATATGAGTTTATAACTATAAACTATAACCTATAAGCTCAAAAGTGCGTGTTTGCAAATATCTCTCAAAGAGTGACACAAAACTTATGATAATAAATAAGCTAAAATAACCTCACCCAAACATGGTCTTTAGTATGGTGGCTACGTAAATACAAAGAAGAATACAAAGAAGAAGTAAGTGGCACACATCAATATCCACAAGAAGAAAGTGTGAAATAGGACATGCAATAGGAACTAACTAAAATTTATGTGATGAATATGAATACACCCATTGGCAAATCACCTTTAACTAACAACAACATAACTTTTTTTGGGGGTGTTAACAAACAAACATAATAATAAAAACTAATGAAAATCTCCATCTTAGCTAGAACTCTGTCACACATCACAACTCATAATTTACTAAGAACTTGTCACATTCTTTTCCAAGTCCAAATTCTCTAAGCTAACTCCCTTATGAACAAGATCCACCTTGTTTGGTTCTTCAATAATCACTTTTCTTTTCCAATATATGCAGTGGAGAACTAGCTGTAAAATTCCCAAGGGAGTTCCAATCACATTTGGTCCCTATTCAAAGTTAACAACATCAACATCAACATTAATCAATAAGATTATCTCTAAATTTTAACCATGAAATAAAATTATCCGAAATCGACACAAACCGCAACGAACATATCTCGAATGAGAAGTCCATATGTAAGCCACAATAGACTTGCCAAAAATGTACAGAATGATAATGGTAGTGGCATGAATTCCACACTCTTTGTTTGTATCACTTTCTTCTGCAATAACCAAAATAAAAATAAAATCTTAGTGTTTTGTTTCTTTTTTAGTAACAAAAATTTGAGTGGATGAAAAAGATAAACTCACCATAACAATCAAAGGTGATGCATACAATGCTATTGACACCCCCAAACCAACACTACCAACAAGGTTCTTTCTGTGTCGATGATCAGGGAAAGCAAAAGATGATACAAGAGCAATGACACAAAACAATAGAAGAACTGGTAAAGCTATCATAGCTACCTTCACCTGTAAAAAAATCATTTTATAAACAAACCATTTACTTTCTTACAAACACAGACATAGACACCGACACCGGTTCTGCTATTTACCTTTCCTTTGTTGGAAGAATACCAAAAATAAATGAGAACATAAGAAAGCTCCAAAAGAAATCCAACTCCATTAACAGGGACAAGAGCAAATTTTTCCCATTTGTAGCTAACAACTGGCAATCCATACCAAGTTAAAAGGAGACCGTTCAACATTCCTATGATGTAAGGAACACATGAAAATTCCTCTGTGCTTTTTTTCCTTATGACCCTTTTGAAGGTCACACTGCAAAATAAAATCAAGAAAAAAAAAAGTTGAATGCTTCATAATAATCTCTGAATAATATTGATCATGTTATGTAACTAACATACATTGGTGCCGCATAGAGAGACAGTGAGGAAAAATTTCCTGCAAGAAATGAATATCGAAATTAGTGAGTTAGTTTCTAGTAATGCATGATGATGCTAAGAGGGTGTGAAATGGATTAAGGCTGTACCTAGAACAGCAACAGCCATACGAAGAGTTTCTGCCATGTTTAAGGCTTTTATGGTCTCTAAGGTGATGAGAATGAGATGAAGATATTTTGTAGTACTTGGTGTGAGAAGACATGTTTTGAGGATGCTCTATTTATAACATTTTTAGAGTGTACCGTTTAACCACTAAAGGCATGCTTAAAGTATTAAGGAAAAATCATGTCCAAGGAAAAAAGTATGAAGGTAAAAAAAGAATATCAAAATAGAATATAGAAGAGAGAGTGTGTGTGTGAGTTTTTTCTATTAAACTAAAGAAACTATTCTCTCGAGGATTAAAGTTGTGGTTAGTCTTCTTAATGAAAATTGGATTCTTACTATTTAGTCCATTTGAACTCACTATGAGACTAATATTTAAATCAACAAACAAGACTTCTAATATTATTTTTAAAGGTGATTTGAGAAACAAAATATGCTATAACAAATTTTTTTTTTTTAAGAAAATTTCGGTTATACTTAAACATGAAGTCATCTTTAAAATTAAGTGTATTTTTTTTTAATTTTAAAATTAAAAATAAATTGTACTTTATCTAAGTTGGTAGGCCAAACAAGGAGAAAATTAGCAGAGATAATAACTTCGATTCTCAACGTCTTTTTATTCTGCATAGGCTATGAGTTCGAATTTTAGCATTTTCTTATTTTATTTTTAATTTAAAGATATATAATATTTCACCTCGGTTGTAATTTTCAATTGAAGGAAAAAGCATAACAAGTAATGAGCTCGACTCCAAACAATCACAATTTCATATTTTATTTATAAATTAGTGACATTTTTTTAAATAAAAAATAAATGACATTTTTCCTCAATTAAAACTCCCATTTAGGAGGAAAGTCACCCAATTTTGTTTTTTTAAGGTATATAAAACACTCTACGCTTATTTACATTTGCGTTTTCGTTAAGAAAATCCTAGACGAAATTGCTTTCCTCTACCTCTAAATTTCATTTACTAAATGGAACTTGAAAATATCATTTTTTTCATTAACGAAACTTGAAAATATCATTTCTTTCACTAATGAGTTTTGATCTCCAACACCTCTTCTCCAACTCTAATGAGACAATGAAAGTCTGGATTCAAATTAGTAATGTTTTTTTTTTTTTGTATCAGGTTAAACGTTTAATACCGTTGTTGTTATTGTTATTGAGATTTAAGGTGGAATGATTTTATTGATTTTGTTATTGTTGCTCTTGTTATTGTGTTGTTGTTGTTGAGTTATTGTGTTGTTGTTGTTGAGATGACTCAAGTCCTTAAATATAGTGATGATATAGCACCACTTTTAGAGTTTATTATTGATCTTGTTGTTACTTTTGTTGTGTTGTTGTTGTTATTAGATGACTTAATTCATTATATTTGATGTTGACATAACACATCCTCAGCGGGCGGGGAGAAGTACAAGGGAATTTTTTATACTCAAGTTCATTGGAATGATAAGGTAATATGTTATATTTGTATACTCTATTATGCTATAACCATTTTAAAATTGATTGTCAGTAATTACCCGCATTGAAGTGATTTATATGTTTAGGAAATTTTAATCTTAAAGAATTTCAAGTTTAATGGTCATTATATTGGATGATAATTATCTTTAATGGTTATTATATTAGAAGGGAGTGACTTTTAATTATATTAAACCGTTTGTCACACTAAAAAAAATAGTTATTATCGACGTAATTTTCACACCACAAAGGTGAAAATCACGTCACAAACCTAACTTAGCGTCGTAGTATATCACAAGGCATGAACACTTGTGGCAACTTTTTTATCACGTGAAAATCACACCACAAATTTGCATCGTGATTTTCACGTCGCAAAGTTTTGCCACGTGATTTTCACATCACAAAATTCTGCAAAAACTCTCCTGTATAGCCGACCTGTATGTTAGGTTGGCAGGTTTGCCACGTGAATTTCATGATACAAATATTAGTTTTGCGTCGTGTTTTTCTCGCCACTAAATTAAAAAATTATTATTAATTAGTGTCGTGTTGGTCGTGTCGCAGACTAATTTTTTTATTAAAAAAAATTTAATAAATAATTATAATACGAAATTAAAAATAAAAAATTTATAAATTTGTTTATAATTAAAAATATTAATTTCATTTCAAAATTAAAAATACTAATATTTTCAAATAATAATTAGAAATATGAATTTTGATTCAAATGATTAAAAATATTTTACAAAAATTACTATTTAAAAGTAAAATAACAATAAATAAAAAAATCAATCAACATCATCATCCATGATTTCTTCCACATTATCATAATCACCCACGTCACCTCCATTGAATTATTTGTTTAGTTCCCTTGTTGTGAGAGTAATTGTCGCGTTATTTCCTCCATCTTAGTTTGTCTCTTCTTCATTGCCTCCATATGGGCATTTATCGTCGCCTCACATTCTACCCTCGCGTATCGCCTTAATTAACATCAATTGTCGCATTGTTTCCATCATTTAGGGTGTCAATTATTATGGACGTGACGTTCCTTTCCCATATGTAACTCTTTCAAATAATGTTTTATTTCTTAGTTTGTAGTTCCCGACCAAAGATCCATCACCAGCTAAACATCTGTAGGGTCGTCTCGCGCCAATTACAAAATTCCAAATATAAAAGATCCACACGATCATCAATCGGACTTGAACCTATTGGAGTATACTAGAGATTTTAAACTACAAATTATGCGAGCAATATTAGATAGTCCTTGTACACATACATATAAGAAATTTTTTTTAAATTAAATATAGTTTAAACAATTTAGTTATATACAAGAATTAAATTAAATAATAAAATATAGCCATGATTTTCACGCCACAAATAACATTAAATTAGTTGCCACATAAAAATCACGCCACAATTGTGCCATTAAATACTAATATAATTTAATCAATATCAATATATATATATATATATATATATATATATATATATATATATATATATATATATATATATATATATATATATATATATATATATATATATATATATATATATATATATATATATATATATATATGTAAATTAATTTAAATAAAATAATGCAATATAAACAACTTAGCAAAGCTAATCTGGTACATTCGTCAACAAAATCACCTGATTTTTTGGTAAAGTCTTTGCAACCAGTTCATTCATTCATGGGGTCTCCCTAAATCCTTAAACTAATTAATAAAATTTAATTTAATTAAAAATATATAGTAAATCAAAATATAACTTAAAAAAGTAGTTATAATTATCATGCGTCAAACATGTTCGACGATTCTAATGCTTCCAACTACATAGAGGTGACCGTATTTTTCAGATGCTCTCATTTTCTTTACAATTTCAGATCTTGCCAAATTAAATGAATCTTAATAGACAAGAAGATCATCAAAAACTTACTTGCCTATCTTGTTAGGATGGATATTTTGCTCTTGCCAACCACGTCTAGCACGTCATAGCATGTCAGAAAGTTGGATTGTTGTTCTGCCCCCACTCCCCCAATTTTTTTTAGTCCTAGCATCGTTAATTACTTCCAATGTATATTTTTCTTACAATGTTGTATGACATTCAAATAAATTGTTAGATAATTATAATAAAAAATAAATAAAATAACAGTAACTTAAAATAAATTCATTATACCTTAAATTTGTTAAACCAAGCATCTTTATCCCTCTTGGAAAGTTCTCAAAATCTTTTCCTAGATTTTTTATATATTTTTTGAATAACATAACTTATACATTTGGCAGCAATCCGACTCGGCTCGAAACGAAACAACAACAATTTGAATAAGTATTATTAAATATAAAAAATGGCAAGATGTTTACTTAAATTTAAATTTTATATATATATATATATATATATATATATATATATATATATATATATATATATATATATATATATATATATATATATATATATATATATATATATATATATATATATATATATATATATATATATATATATATATAGTTTTTAGTAAATATATATAATATATTCAGTGTTTAATAAATATTATTCTGTTTTTTTTTTAAATATATACTATATTCTGTTGTTAATTATATTTTGTTTATACATATATAATATATTCTGCTTTAATTATATATTATTAAAAAAATACAAATAAAATATATTCTGTTTTTAAAATTAATATCTTCTGTTTTTATTAAAAAAAATAAAAATAAAAATTAATATTTTTCTGTTTTTTTGAAATATATATATATATATATATATATATATATATATATATATATATATATATATATATATATATATATATATATATATATATATATATATATATATATATATATATATATATATATATATATATATATATATATATATATATATATATATATATATATATATATATATATATATATATATATATATATATATATATATATATATATATATATATATAGTTCTGTTTTTTTTAAAGAATATAATATACTCAGTTTTTAATTATATAATATACTATTTTTAATAAAGATGTAATAAATTCTATTTTTAATATATCTATATATTTATTTTAATAATATATAATAAAATTAAAAATATATTTTTGAAAATATTTTATATTTTCCAATTAATAAATTTTATATATTAAAAATATGGAAAAAAACTAAATAAATTAAAAACAACTACCAACTACCAACAACCAACAAATAATCTATACTACAAAGAACCAACAACTCAATGTTTTTATATATTAAAATCTAGGGAAAGAATATAATAGCTTAAATACCTTAATGAAGAAACAACAAATTTTGCATAATCTTTGAGTCTTGATGAAGGTCTAGAATATTGAGCAAAAAAGTAATCAACACTTAAAAAACCGGAAAATCAACAAAATAATTAACATGAATAAAATGAAAATCAACATGAAAATTAATACCTTCAACTCAAATTGGAAGAAGGTGGAAATTTAAAATTAAATGAGATTTTAATTTGAAGAAATGGGTGGAAGAAATAGGGCAGTGTCAGAACAGTCATAATCATTGCGACGTGAATTACACTTCGCTAC